AAGGACATTTTTGCATTTATCTTCAGATAGAGGGAAAGGGGGAGAAAGAGAGAGAGAGAAACATCGATGTGGAAGGGACACATCGAGTGGCTGCCACCCGCACGACCAACCAGGGCCGGGGACAAACTGCGACCGAGGTACGTGCCCTTAGCGGGAACCGAACCGGGACTCTCTGGTTTGCGGGCCGACGCTCTAACCGCTGAGCCAGACTGGCCAGGGCTGAAACCTGGGACTTAAATTGAAAATCGAGCCCTGGCCGGTTTGGCTCAGCGGTTGGAGCGTCGACCTGCGGTCCGGAGAGACCCGGTTCGGTTCCCGCTAAGGGCACGTACCTCGGTCGCAGTTTGTCCCCGGCCCTGGTTGGGTCGTGCGGGTGGCAGCCACTCGATGTGTTCCTTTCATATAGATGTTTCTCTCTCTCTCTCTCTCTCTCCCTCCCACTCTGTCTGAACAAAAAAATGGACAAATGTCCTCGGGTGAGGATAAAAAAAAAAAAAAAAAAAATTGAAAATCGAGTAGTTTGAGTGAGCAGATGGTCTATGCAAATGACATGCTAACGACATGCAAATGACCCGCTGACCGCCCGGGCTGCGGGACCGTCCGAGCCACTCAGGTTGAGATAAGGTGCGGCGCTGGCCACGCCCCGCCACGCCCTCCCACCTCCAGGCAAGACTTCCGTCCCCCACGCCCGGCGGCTCCGAGGTGGTCCCACCCACCCGCGCCACTGCGGCCCGCCCGAGCCCGAGTGCCAGACGGTCCCCTCCGCCCTCCCGGCGTCCGGCCACCTCCAGCGCAGCAGCGCCGGGCCGCAGGAAGCCGCTCGCGGGAGTGGACTGCGGGCACGCTGGCCCGTGCGAGCCGGTAAGCGGGTCCCGGGCCCCCACGGCCCCCAAGGCGTCCCCCCGCCGGGTCCCCGCCAGCGCATGGCAGACCTGGCCCGCCCTGGGCCGCGCGGGCCCCTTCCCGCCTGTCGGGGGTGAGGATCCGGAAAAGCCTGTTTGTCCTTGGTCCTGGGCTGCCCCAGCCTCGCAGGGCTGGAGACCCCCACGCCTGAGGGGGTTCCTCCAAAGCGACTCCTTGGAGTGAGGGGACCCGCACCACCCAAGGCTTGGCCTGAAATCTGCGCACGAGCGCCGCCTGGACGCCCGAAGCCCCACCCAGAGATCTCTCCAGCGGAGGGTGGGAAGTCGAGTGGAAACTAGATCCCGGACCTCAGAGACAGGGCCCAGGGTGACAAGAGGTCATGAATTTCTGTTGCCTGTCCCATCCCCCTTCCAGGCTAAGGTCAGCCTGCCCTGTGGGAAATGTGGGGCACGTTTTGGAGGCTGGGAAGGGAGAGGGTGACTTGCTCCAGCTCGCCGACCTCTGGAACTGTCTCCTTTTTTCCGGGGTCCCTGCCAGGTGCAGGGGTTTGAGGGCTTGTCAGCCCCAAGTTCAAGCTGGCTCTTGCAGTTCTCAGGGCCCAGCAGGGAGCCCCACTGCGCCTGTCCTGGGTCCTGGGCTCGAGGTTCCTGCCTCATACGTATGTGGTCTGGTGCCGAGGGGGTCTCCAGGGTCTGCCAGGGCTGCCCACCCTTTCACTTCTCTGGGGCTTGTGCGCCTCCTTTTCCCCTCACCCTAGGAAAAGCAGGGGAGAGGAGGAGAGGAGGAGGCCCCTCCACTCTGCACACCAGTCCAGGAACCCCAAGCCCTGCATGAGAGCACCCACTCACCCTTTGACCATACGTGCACTCAGAAAGGCAGGAAAAGGATTTCGAGGGCCTAGCAACACCTCTGTCCTCTGATGGGAGATCCTAAAATCAGCCTGGGGGTTGGGAGGACAAGAAATGTCATCTCGGCATTGTCGCTTGGGCCTGAAGATGCTCCCACTCTGGGCAGAGGGCATGGGGGTGTCCCCGAGGGCGGAGGTGTGGCCCCTGCAGAAAGCTGCTCTCCTCCACTCCCAGAAAGTGAGATGAGAATGAGGAAGTGAGATGCGAGCGGGGTGTCTCTAGCCACATCTCCCTCCTTGCCCCAACCACACACCAGGCAGTGATCATGACTCATGGTTCCCAGAGCAAAGGAAAGACCACTTCCCAACTGGGGCAGAGGCACAGCCGGAGCCCCCCGCCGCCGCTCTTCTCTGCTCTGCTCCAGTCTTCTGGGATGGACCTGCTTGCCAGGAAGCCAGGTCACCCAGCTGGCCTGCCTGCGGGGGAACGCAGGTGGGTCACATTAACATTATTTTTTGTGCTCTGCCAGAGGCTGGGTGGGAGTTTATGAACAGGTCCTTGCTTCTAGTGTAGAAGAGGGAGTAGGGACAGGGGGACAAGATAAAGAATCGAACCACTCCAGTGTGCTATGAAACCCCTATTAAGGGGAGAAAACAGGAAGGGGGTGTAGCCCAGCCAGGGGTGGGGTGTGCCCTAGGGGTGCCCCAGGGCTGAATCTTGAAGGGCCAATCAGACTTTTCTCTGGCCAAAGATGTCAGAGGAACCACCACTGTAGCCAAGTCTGGGGGAGCCAGCTTGCGTGAGGAGGGGGCTGGACATAAAAGCATGGGAGTTGCTGGGGGTATGGGAGACAGTCTCCTGGAAGACAGTCTGTAGAGGAGCTCCCAGAGGGACGCCAGGGGTCCCCAGAGCAGGGAGGCAATAAGCAAAGAGAGGTCAAAGGTGCCTAGTGGTTTCCTAGGCTCTGATTGTCCCAGGAGTCCCCAAGAAAGAGACGCTATGAAGAGCCAGCTCCACCGAAAGTTTCTGGAGGGAAGGTGGGTGCAGAGTGAAGGTCAGAATCCTGGACAGAGGGGCTGCTGAGAAGGGCACTAAAGGAACCTCTCCCTGGAAGAGCAGGGCAGGGATGAACAAGAAGGGGACAAGAGCCCGGCCGGTGTGGCTCCGTGGTTGAACATTGACCCATGCACCAAGAGGTTCGATTCCGGGTCAGGGCACATGCTCAAGTTGTGGGCCTGATCCCCAGTGGGGGGCATGCAGGAGGTGGCCAATCGATGTTTCTGTCTCTCTCTCCTTCTCCCTTCCTCTCTAAAATCCCTTCTTCTCTAAAATAAAATTTAAAAAAAGAAAAGGGGCAAGAGCTGGGGAGGGGGGCTGGGGGCCACCAGGCCTTCCGACATCTCGTCTCTGATCTCTCGTCTTCCCTGCCACCTGTTGGACAGTGACAGTGTGCTGCTCCGAGGGGGAACCTGCACAGCCCAGGAGCTTGGGAGAGCTGGGCGTGGGGCAGCAGCGGGGGCAGCACGGGAGGAAGTGAGGGCAGCAGAGGAAGGCTGGTGGCCCTTCCGGGAGGAAGACGGGGAAAGTGGCAGGTCCTGGAAGGCTGAGGGGCCGGGATGTGTCAGGGAGGAGGGGCGAGCAATGGAGAAGGGTGTGGAGACTTGACATTCAGGTCACAGTAGAGAGGATCAGGTGGCATTGGTGGCCTTTCCATCTGCTGAGGGAACAGAAATCCTGGAAGGGGCGAGAGCCAGTTTGCTGGAGGAGCCGAACCGAGGTTTGCCCGAGCCTGGAGCTGGGCCAAGAGGATCAGGGCTGAGGGGATCTCCAGGGCCAGCGTCACAGGCAGGAGCCAGACGGGCAGGAGGTACTCCTGGCCCACACTAGGGCTCAAGGTCACTCCCACACTCACACTCACACCCTGAGGCTGGGATGAATGGGACACTCACCTTGGCAAGGCTGTACCCTGAGAAGGAACTGGAGCGTGTGACGGAGTCACTGTAGGGTGGGCCCGGGTGTGTTCCAGCTCCTGGGCCTGGGGGAAAGGTGTGGGCTGCTTGGCTGGGCAGGAAGGGGAGGTTTCATATTTCTGAGAGTTTCCATGGATCTTCCCTGGACCTGGGGCTAAAAGGAGGGGGCTGTGGGAACAGCAGCTCGTGGGACCCGTTGCCTCACGGAAGTGAAAGTTGCTCCCAGAGCCTGCTGAACGTGGAGCCCGAGCAGGTCTGAGGGCGCCGGGGAGCCAGGATGGAGGAGGGTGTGGAGGAGGGTTCTGCATTTGGGGACGGCTTCGGGCTTCACGCTCTGGTCAGGGCAGCTTCTGTGATGAGGGAATGGCCTGGTGGTGACAAGGAACTGAGATAGGACTGAGCCAAAGATGTGAGGGTGCGTGTGTGTATGTGCAGCACGTGTCTGTGTGCGTGTGTCTATGTAAGTGTGTGCCTACATTTGTGTATGTGTGTGAGCATGTGTCTTGATATGTGTCCATGTGCGGCTGTGCATGTATCTGTGTGTGTGTGTGTGTGTGTGTGTGTTGGGGGGTTGTTCAGAGAAGCCCTTGCAGGTGGTAGATCATTCAGCATAATTGTGAAACTTGACTCTCGGCCATGACTCCTTATAAACGGAGAACTGTAGGGTGCTTGCCGAGGTTGGTGCCCCTGTTTGTTTGTGTTTTGAGTTTGGCGCCCTTGCTGCGTTCTGGGCACACTCCTTGGCTGCGCCCAGCACAGCGTGCTCGCCGTGGCCTTCACAGCAGCCCCGACAGGAGTTTGCTGTTGATGTAGCACTGCGACAGTGGCTTGTGTGCAGGCAGCCGCGTTATGAATGTAAATGCGTGTGTGTGTGCCAGGCGGGGGGCTCCGTGGGACTTCGCCGGCCCCAGAGCCCTGCTCCATTCTATGAGCAGTTACTGAGCGCTTGCTGTGTGGGGCCGGGGCGGCCCGGGAAGTCCCACCTGCTTGCTGACTGCCAAGTGATGTTAGACTGGAGAGAATCCCATTCACCTGCCTTGCTTCTCGGATCCCTCACCTGCCAGCCCCCCTGCCAGGCTGGCTCTGGGAAGTGGGTGAAAGGAGATGCCAAGGCCAACTCACGGGCCTCTGGCCACCTCCCTGCGGGTGGCGCTCCTCTGATACCTGGTGCTGAGGCAAGAGGAAGGATGGTTTCAGCCGCCCAGGAGAGGTGGCAGGTGAGCCAGGGGAGGGCCGGCAGCTTCATCCTGTCCCTCCCCAGGCAGCGCAGGCACTGGTAGCGGTGGCAGCGAGGCTGTGGCCGTGCTCCCCGCAGAGGATGCCGCAGGCCCTGGAGCGCGCCGAGGGCTGCTGGGCCTGGGTGGTCCTGCTGGCCTCCATGGTGGCCCAGGGCCTCAGCCTGGGCTTCCCCACCTGCATCGGCATCTTCTTCACTGAGCTGCAGCAGGAGTTCCAGGCCAGCAACAGCCAGACCTCCTGGTTCCCCTCCATCCTGACGGCCATGCTCCACGCAGGGGGTAAGTAGCCTGAGGAGGGGCCCAGGGAGGGATGACAAAAAGCCACAACCTTCTTGGCCTCCTGGGTCCCTCTCTTGGAGGCCACAGGCTTTGCCTTGCTGGGTGAATTCCTAAGATTTCACCTGATTTCAGCACAGCCTGCTCCCCGGACTGGAATCCCTCTGGGCTGGGCTGGGTTGGGCCGCGCAGGGAGGCACCTGAGATGCAAAGCCAGTCCTCTTGGACGGATCCAGACTCGAGGGGCGCTACACCCAGCACAGACTGGAGGAGGAACGGGCTGAGACCACTCTGAGCCTTGGTTTCCTCCCCTGCAATGTGAGGGTAACACCCAGCATCATGCCCACCTCCCACATGAGACCCTAGGGGGTTACGTGACACTTGGCAGGTGCTGAGAGCGCGGGAGATGTAAGCAGCTGAATGACTTGTGTTCTGGAGCCCTTCCCCGGGGGCTTCGCCCGAACGGGCTCTGAAGATGCCAGGAGCAAGATGGGGGCGGGGCAAAGGCCCCACCTTTCACCAAGAAGCAGAGGGGGAATTGCAGGGGCTGGGGAGATGGAGAGAAGGCAGCCCCCCATCTCCTGGCTAGCTCCTGTAGGACTGTGACCCTGACCCCAGCTACAGGGGAAGGTCAGGGGCCTGCCCCCAGCTTCTGGTTACTTTCCAGGGAGTCTCCACAGACGGTGGCCTCCAGGGGACCTGGTCAGCTGGAGTGGGGTCTGATGGGACCACAGAGTTCTCCCCATGTGGGGGTGGGCTTGCCTTAGCTGACCCCGTCTCCCTGCCTGCCTCCTGCTCCCCCGTTCACCTGGCACCAGCAGCCTGCTTGCTCCTCCAGTTCCTTCCCTCCGGTTGTGAAGGAGATCAGACTGGATAGGTGCGGCCCTTGCTGGAATGACCGCTGAACCTGTCCCCCAGGCACAGGCTCAGGGCAAGGGGAGAGGCCAGGCCTAGCCCAGACCGCATGACCTTTTCACTTGCAAGGTTGGTGCAGAAGCGGGAATCTCGGGGGGGTTCCTTCGTGCAGCTGGAGAGGGGTCTGGGCCAGGGGCTGGAAGCCGGGCATCCAGTGGGACCCCCACTCCCCAGCTTTAGACTCCTCATATACACACACACATTTAGCCCATGCTTATTCAGAGTATGATAGAAAATTTAAACTTATAAGTATCATTGGCCCTGGCTGGTTTGGCTCAGCGGTTAGACTGTCAGCCACGGACCAAAGGGTCATGGGTTTGATTCCCAGTCAAGAGGCACATACCTGGGTTGCAGGTTTGATCCCCAGCCCCAGTGAGATTGTGCAGGAGGCAACCAATTGATGTATCTCTCTCACATCGATGTTTCTCTCTCTCCCCCTCTCCCTCCCTTCCACTCTAAAAAAAATCAAAGAAAAAATATCCTCATGTGAGGATTTGAAAAAAAGTATCATTGATCCCGAGGCCCTCCTGCCCCCCCCATATTTTAGAGATAAGGAAAGCAAGCAAGTACAAAGTACAAAGCCTGCCCAAGATTACAGAGTGAGTTCAGGGCAGAAGGAGTGACCCTGCCAAAGAAATGCCCTGCCTCCCAGGGCCCCTCCCCAGCACCCTCAGCAATCTCGGCCAAGCTGGCACACGTCCCAGTCCCACCCCCAACTCAGTGACTCAGGGCTTTCCCCAATATCACCTTTGCTAAGTCAGGTCGAAGTGTGGCGGTGGGGAATACGTGTGGTTCGGCGGTCATACTGCTGCAAGGCCTCGCCTCCCCCCTACAGCTGTCTCTGCTTGATCATGTCTGAGGATGGCTGCTCACTTCCTCTTTCATCCCCAAAATCGTATTGGCACACATCCCCTCTCCACCCCAAACACACACACACACACACCTCGTGCATGCACCACTTTCCCTGAAACCGTTGCGTGTGCTTGGGGGCAGGGCGCGCAGTGAATGGGGCCTTGCAAGGCACGAGCAGCCGGAGAGGGCTGGCTCGCCTCTACTCCTCTGGGTCTGGGCCCCGAGAAAGCCACAGGGTGGGGGGTGCAGTGGAGGGAAACAGGCCCCTCTCCAGCAGGAGCCAGACCTCTGGGTGCAAGACTCTGGCGGTGGCTGGAGGTGACGGGGGAGGGGAGAAGATATCCCACCTAATTTTCTCCAGAGCCCAATGCAAGGGGTGCAGAGTGGCCCAGGCCCCTCGCTGCCCACCCTGGACAGGTGGGAGGCTGGAGGGAGGGCTGTGGCCAGTCTTGTTTCACCCGGCTGGAAGCAGCCTCAGGTCTGCACCTCTGCGATCCTTGTCTGGGTCAAACTGAACATATGCAGCACCTCACCTCACACCCGGTCAGCCTGACCTCTCATTCTGTAGGGGAGGAAACAGGCAGAAAGAGGGAGAGCCTTGCCCAGGCCACATGGCCAGTGTGTGGCAGGCGGGCATCAGAGTCTAGGATTGTGGGCTCCCGGGCTTACGCCCTCGAAGCCTCCGAGCTAGTTCCTGCTGGAACACCCTCCTAGCCCCACTGCCCCCTCCCCCCGGACTCTTCAGTCAGCTGCCACCTGGCTTCTCATCCCTGCCCATCCTGCCTCCACCCCACAGGACCCCTGTGCAGCATCCTGGTGGGACGCTTTGGCTGCCGAGCGACAGTGATGCTGGGGGGGGTGCTGGCCAGCCTGGGCATGGTGGCCAGCTCCTTCTGCCGCACCCTCAGCCAGCTCTATCTCGCCGCAGGATTCTTCACAGGTGATTGTCAATTCATTTCGAGACTCACTGGGCGCCTGCTAAAAAGTGCCAGGTGCCAGTGAACAGGGCAGGGCTGCTCACCTGGAGGAGAGACAACGCACAGCTAAATGAGGATTCATTCGATTGGGACAAGTGCATGAGAAGACAGGACAGCTGATGTCATAGTGTCCTGGCTGAGGGTGGTAGTGTTAAACAAATGAAAAGGTAAAACATTGAGAACACCCAATGCGAAAGATACGCAGGGTTAGGGGGAGGTTGCTGTTTTGTTTTTATTATTATTATTTATTATTATTATTTTTTAATCCTCACTCGAGGACATTTTTCCTTTTTTTTTTTTTTTTTATCCTCACCCGAGGACATTTTTCCATTTTTTGTTCAGGTAGAGTGGGAGGGAGAGAGAGGGGGAGAGAGAGAGAGAGAAACATCGATGTGAAAGGAACACATCGAGTGGCTGCCACCCGCACAACCGACCAGGGCCGGGGACAAACTGCAGCCGAGGTACACGCCCTTAGCGGGAACCGAACCCAGGTCTCTCAGGACCGCAGGCCGACGCTCTAACCGCTGAGCCAAACCGGCCAGGGCCATTTTTCCATTTTTTGTTCAGATAGAGTGGGAGGGAGAGAGAGAGGGAGAAACATCGATGTGAAGGGACACATCGAGTGGTTGCCACCCGCACAACCCAACCAGGGCCGGGGACAAACTGCAACCGAGGTACGTGCCCTTAGTGGGAACCAAACCCAGGTCTCTCTGGACCGCAGGCCGACGCTCCAACTGCTGAGCCAAACCGGCCAGGGCGAGGTTGCTGTTTTCAACAAGCGGGCAGAGAAGGTGATGTTTGGGCAAGGAGCTAATGGAGGGAGTCTGCCATGAGGCTCTGTGGGGAAGAGCAGTCCAGGAAGAGGAAAACAGCAAGTGCAAAGGCCCTGAGGTGACAGCAGTACAACAGCCAGTAGGGTAGAGGGGCATGAACAAGGGGTGGAGTCTGGATGGGGGTTCACTTGTAGTGAGATGGGAGCCACTTGAGGGGTTCGGGCAGCCAGGTGAGTGACATTCTTCTGACCATTACTTGTAAAGCACCGTGCTGGGGGCCTGTGTGTTAAGACTGCACTGTGACACCAGGCCTTTTTGCCCTGAGCCCTGGAAGAATGAAGGAGCCACTAACCACCAGGGGAAACAAGAAGGGCAGGTCGCAGGAGGATGGGAAGCTCAGATCTGGACACATCCAGTCTGGAGTTCTGGGAACAGGCCCTGAGCTGCAGCGAGCAGTTGGGACATCATGAGATGGCTGGTATTCAAGTCTTGAGATGAGATGTCGCTCTGCTGTCATTAAGGGAACAAGGGAGGACTGAGCCTCAGGACACTCCAGTGTTTAGTGGTCTAGGCGGGAAGAATTGACTGAAGTTGGAGGACCAAGAGGAAGAAAGTTCGAGAGGAAGTGGGAGTAGTTGGCGATGCAAAGGCTAGTGACTTTGCTAAGAGCCATTGGGGTGAAAGTCTGATGGCAACAGTTTCTTTTTTTTTTATCCTCACCTGAGGACATTGTTGCATTTATCTTCAGATAGAGTGGGAGGGAGAGAGGGGGCAAGAGAGAGAAACATCCACGTGAGAGAGACACATCGACTGGCTGCCACCCACACGTCCCCAACCAGGCCGGGGACAAACTGCAACCAAGGTACATACCCTTAATGGAAATTGAACCCGGGACTCTCTGGTCCACAGGCCAACACTGTAACCTCTGAGGCAAACTGGCGAGGGCTGATGGGAACAGTTTCAACAGAGAACAGGAGGAGGGAAGTTGGAGACAACTGAGATCATCAAAACTTTCAAGAAATTTCGGTGTAAGGGGAGCAGAGAAATGGGCCAGGACCCAGAAGAGGCTGTGGGGTCAAGAGAGGGTTTGTTTCGTTTTTAATGAGAAATAACAATAAAGGAGGCACGCTCTAGAAAAGAGGAGAAAGTGGATGATGCAGGAGAGAGGGAAACTGCTGGAAGGGTATGCCTTTGAGGGCACAGGATGCAGGACAGAAGTAAAGGGCTGTCCTTGACCCGGAGCACAGAGGGTCCATTGTCACAGGCAGGAAGGGCAGGCTGGCAGCTGGCAGTGGGGAGAGGTGAGGCATGAAAATAAAAGAGGAAGAAAGCCGCGAGTCATCCAGGAGGAGGGGGAAGAAATGGCGAGGGACCCGGGCAAGCCAGGGCCCACCCGAGGCCAGTGGTCATGAGTGGTTGTGAGCTTTCTCTCCAGAATGTTCAGCTGTTCGGGGCAGGCTTGGAGTGGGTGGGGAGGCAGCATCTGAGCCAAGTCAGGTGAAGAAAGTCGGGAGAAGTGTGTTCCAGGCAGAGGTCCCGAGGTAGTTTGATGTCCAGAGAGAAAGAAAAGGCGAGTGTGGCTGCATCATGGTGAGTGACAGGGAGAGTGGCCTGAGATGGCACCCAAGAGGTGGCCAGGAGCCAGACTGTGCAGAGCCTTCCGGGGCATAGTAAATACCTTGGCTTTTTCTCCTAGGTGTGATGGAAGGTGTTAAGCAGGGGAGAGACTTACTTTGATTTAAGTTTTTAACGATCGCCTGGGTGCTGTGCCAAGGGGACAGGTGTGCCCCCGGCAGCCTAGGGAGGGCAGATCGAGGGGCAGGATGCTTCTAGGGAGGGGCAGGCAGGCTGATCCCATCTGAACTCCCTGGGGACCTGGAGGTGCGTCTTGGCCAGAAGGGAAGGAGAGCAGGCGCGGGACATGACTGTGTTATCCCCACAGTGGGAGGCTCCAGAACACCCTCGAGCTGGTCTCCCCTCTTCCACCACAGGCCTGGGCTTGTGCTTCAGTTTCCAGTCGACCATCACCGTACTGGGCTTCTATTTCACCCGCCGGCGGGCACTGGCCAACGCACTGGCTTCGGTGGGTGTCTCCCTGGGCATCACACTCTGGCCGCTGCTCGCCCGCCACCTCCTGGAGGACCTGGGCTGGAGGGGCACCTTCCTTGTCTTTGGCGGGGTTTTTCTCCACTGCTGTGTCTGCGGGGCCATCCTGAGGCCCGTGGCCACCAGTGTGGCCCCTGAAACCAGAGAAAGCCCTTCTCTACCTTCCAAGACACCTGCTCCTGGCCGCCTGGCAGCATGTGGCCAGGTCATCCTTCGCTACCTGGCCTTCGACATCCTGTGGCACAATGCAGGCTACCGAGTGTTCACGCTGGGTGTCACGTGGATGATCCTCGGTTTCCCGCTGCCACACGTCTTCCTGGTGCCCTACGCCATGCAGCACGGGGTGGACGAGCACAAGGCGGCCCTGCTCATCTCCATCATCGGCTTTAGCAACATCTTCCTGCGGCCCATGGCGGGGCTGGTGGCAGGCCGGCAGGATGTCGCCAGCTATCGCAAGTACCTGTTCAGCCTGGCAGTCCTGCTCAACGGGCTCACCAACCTGGTGTGCACAGTGTCAGCCGACTTCCGAGTGCTGGTGGGCTACTGCCTGGTGTACAGCGTGTCCATGAGCGTGGTTGGCGCCCTCTTCTTCCAGGTCCTCATGGATGTTGTCCCCATGGAGCGCTTCTCCAGGGCCCTGGGCCTCTGCACCATCTTGGAGAGCATCTGCATCCTCATCTCCCCCCCAATGGCTGGTGAGGCCCGGGAGGGAGGGCAGCCAGGTGTTCGAGGGTGTGGCCCGGGAGGGCAGGGAAAGGGGGTGAGGCAAAGGGAACAGTCTGGACAGATTTGGGCCCCATCCAGCATCCCAGGAGTAGGGACTTAGAATCTGTGTAGCCACCCAAGGGACTGGCTACAGTGTGTCCCCTGCTGGTTCTCAGAGTATGAACAGTTAAAAATAGGGGTCTGCATACCAGACTTACCTGAGTCTCTGTACCTATGTTTTCTTATCAGCAAGTGAGAATGATAATAGAATCTACCTGGTAGGCTTGTGAGGATCACAAGTTATACCATAAAGAGCTTAGTAGAGAAGCTGGCAGAGTAAGTACTATGCACGGATTTGCTGTTATTGACATCTTGGTTCTCCCACTTCCTGCCTGTGGGACCCCGGCAAGTCATTTACCTTCTCTGAGCCACAGTGTCACAAGAACACCTGTCATAACCATTGATTGACTTGTGCCAGTTACGGGGTGCACATGGCTGGATACGGAGACTTCCCTTCTGGTGGAAGAGTCGGGAGTTAAAGCAAAGAGACATACTTGGGGGCACAATGGTGACTTGTGCAGGGAGGGAGACACAGATACGGGAGCAGAGCCCCCCATGAGAAGTGTGACATTCAGAGCAAAAGGGAAGATTGTGAAGCCTTTGGTGCTGGGGGCCAGTCAGCAGCCAACACGTGGCTGCAGTTATTACCGTGAGATGTAATGCCCCAAGTGTGGAGTTGGCAGTCTCAGTTTCCAGGGGAGTTCCCCAAGCCAGCAAGTAGAGAGAGCTCTCTGGGAGGAGGTATGGGGGACCCAGGACATGTCTGAGCAGAGAGTCCAGACCCCACTGGCCCCTGTCTCCATAGCTTCCTGCCACCAGGGTAAGAGAGACGTGTCCTTAAGTGCTCTTTGGCCTGAGGACTCTTCCTGCCTGGGCCAGAGTAGGTTTAGTGTTTCCTCCCCGCCTTCATTTGACGACTAGTTAATGAGTGCCTACTAGGTGCCAGCCCCAACTCCTAGTACTGGGGATTCCACAGAGACAAAAATAAAACCCCTGCTCTCGCAGAGCACCCGTTAGTGGGGCTGGTAGCCCTGGGCGGTGCCTAACTCGCTCTCCGCCCTTCAGGGTTTGTCCTGGACAACACTGACAGCAACTTCAGCTACGTTTTCTACATGTCCGGCTTCTTCCTCATCTCAGCCGCCCTATACATGGGTGGCAGCTTCTGTGCCCTTCGGAAGAAAGAGAGGCAGGGCGGGCAGGCCAAGGAGGGAGCAGCCATCACGGAGGCTGCCCCGGAGCGGGCCCTCATGGTGGAGGGCACAGACACTTCAGAGAAGCGGCTGTGTACTGAAGTCATGTATGTGACCAGCGTCTGAGCCCCAGGATCACATGTGTGACCAGCATTTGAGCTCAGAGGTCAGTGAGCAACTACTGTCTCAGCCCAAGAATGGGATGTCCAGCTGCTTTGCCCAGAAAACCTGAACCAAAGGCCATCCCGGCTCACACGTCGGGACCCAGCCAGGAGCTGGGACCCTGGGGGCTGGCCTGCGAAACTCAGGGTTCCTTCCAATGAGCAGAATCCAGGAGCGAGTCCTGACTTTTTTCCTTGGGCACCAGGGTACTTGGGGCCCAGAAAGGTGGGTCTGAGCCCTGCTTGGGTCTGTTGTGGCTGTCTCAGCTCAGCTGCTTGCCCACTGCCGCTGCTACAACTCAACTCACCAGACCATTAAGTCCCGCCTGGATGCCTCCGATGTGATCTCTGTGACCTCTGGCCTCCAGACAGTTCCAAAGGGCTCACCTGTCCTCCGAAGCCCTCCTGCTTTTCTTCCTCCCGTGACCCAGCCCTTGCCCTCAGGGCTACCCCCAGCACAGGCTGCTGGGCTTCCCGCTGAACCTTGGCAAGAAGAGCATCAGTTGTGGCCTGCAGCAGTGGATGGCCAAGCTGAGGCGTTGGCCTGGATGTGGGGTTTGGACAGATTAAATGTCGGTGGGAGTATCTGTCCTGGCATCTGTGTAGAGAATCCGCGGGGAGCACCAGACGTGGGTCCTAGAATCAGCCTGAGGAACCCCCTGCACATTCAGCAGAGCCTGCTCCCGGTTCTCCCTCCTTTGCCCCACCTGGTATGTTGACGGGAAGATTAGCGCTGGGGTTAGGGGAAGGCAGGCATGTGACTGACCAGGGAGGATAAGGATTGCTAGGCAGGGCCCAAGGACCTCGGTGAAAATAGAGCTGTTTTTGCAACAGAAGCCCTTCTCCCTACTGTGTCAGAGGCGGCAACCCGGGGGTAAGTAGCTGGCTGGGCCAGCTGCCAGTCCACCCTTGCTCCCAGTTGGCCTACGTCTGTCGCCTGGAGGTCAGAGCTCCCCACACACTCTGCTGGTGCCCTTCCTTGAGGTCATCACTGGGGTGTGGCGGTGGGTATGGTGGGCTTGCTGTCATCAGCCCAGGCTTGTCCCAGCAGGATACCAACCAAGGGAACAGAAAAAGTTTGTTTGAATTACACACAAAAATGTTTCCTGAAGCAGGTAATAAACCCTGTGAACTAATGAAGCAGGAAAACAGCCCTGGAATAAGCCCTCCCCCACTTCAGTTCTCCCAGCTTGGCAGGGGCTGCTCACGCCCAGGACCTTGTTTGTTGATTCAGGCTCAGCCAGGCTCCAACAACAGAAAAAACCTTATCAGGAGGATTGATTTTATTTTCATGATCCAACTCCAGCCTTCCTCCTCCATATGGCCTGCTGGCATGAGTAAGCATCCTTGAGGATGTTGTCTTCTCCAGAACCCTGCCACGAGTGCCCCTTATGGCCAAAGAAGGTAGTGCAGAAGCCAAGCAAAGGGCATTTGGCGGGGTAGTAGAGACCTGAGTTCATGTTTGACTCTGCCACAATTTACTGTGTGACTTTGGGGAAATTGTTCACCATCTCTGGGCTTTTAAAAAGGAGGAGGTTGGCGTGGGTAAGCTTAAGCCTCTTCCAGTTTGAAAGCCTTCCTACTCCCCACAGGTCGTATGCTTGGCCACCATCCACAGCTTGTGAACTGAAGGGGAGAAACTTGGACACATTTTACCAAGTCCTCTCTCCACCATCTTAATGGAGTGTAAAAGGAGGGAGTTGGGGTTGTTGAGTAGGTAAATGCTTTTGGTGCTAGTAGCCACCAGGCTTTGAAATGTACATCTCTTAATAGGCCCACTTCCTTAGAACAGATTTCTTTTAAGGAAAAAAAGACTGTCAGTAAGCATTCAGCATAGAGAACTTTGACTTCATCTCTCCCAGGCAACAGTAGCAATAATCACTAGGCAGACTCCCTTCAACAAATTTTTTAAAATTTTTTTAAGAAACTCAGGCCCTGTCTGGTTTGGCTCAGCAGTTAGAGTGTCAGCCCATGGACCAGAGAGACCCAGGTTCGGTTCCTGCTAAGGGCACGTACCTCGGTTGCAGTTTGTCCCTGGCCCTGGCTGGGGTCGTGTGGGTGGCAAATAGTCGATGTGTCTCTCTCACACTGATGTTTCTCTCTCTCTTCTTCCCGCTCTCCCTCATGCGCTATCTGAAGATGAATGCAAAAATGTCCTTGGGTGAGGATTAAAAAAAAAAAAGAAAGAAAGAAATGTCAGAGGATAAAAAAAAGAAAAAGAAACTCAGTAAAGAGCAATATTGTGAATGATGGGGAGGACCAAGTGAGATATATGAAATGAAGTTGGAAATTAAGAAAAGATGTCAAGTAAGCAATAGCAAGAAGTAGAGGTGTTTCTTTTTTACTGTAATAAGAAACTAATGGAGGTTGTTTTTTTTTTTAATCCTTACCTGAGGATATTTTTCCATTTGTCTTCAGATGGAGTGGAAGGGAGAGAAAGAGAGAGACACACACACACACACACACACACACATACACATCAAGAGGCTCCCTCCCGTACAACCCCCACCAGGGCCTGGGAGGAGGTTTGTGTCCCTGGTCTGCGGGCCGATGCTCTAACCACTGAGCAGAACTAGCCAGGGCCCTTCAACAAATATTTATTAAGCATCTACTGGGTGTCAGGGACTGGGCAGACAGAAGTAAAAGCTGGTCAATGCCGTCAGTGCAAAACCAAGGACTGAGAATTTGTCCCCAAGGAGGAGGGCCCCTGCGGCCCTGGGAGGAAACAAATGAGGGAGGATGAGTGGCCCATCTGTTCCAGAACCCAAGCTTAGTTGATTTTCTAGAAATCTAGTCTGGGGCAGTTCCTGTCTGAGTAGCACAGGGTGGAGCTCATTTCCATTCTATCCCCAAGCCTTTGCTGCTCTGTCCAACCGCAGCCCTGGCCACCTTGGGCTAAGATGTACATCCTCAGGTCGCATCAGGTCCCCAAAGACATTGAAGGGCCTGGTGAGGGCCCTGGGGCCACCGCTGTCTTGGAGTAGCCACATCACCCAAGCACCCAGACTGGTCAAACTCCTGCCCCAGGGGTTGTGCATAGGGCAGGAGCTGACCACAGGGACCTGAGCCCAGTATGTGGGTCCCGCTCCCAGTGGGGCTGTGGCAGGATGGAGTATGGCCCAGAGCCAAAGGCACATGGCCCTTGCCCTCAAGAAGCCATTTTCAAGGGAGTGAAGCAGGTACACCTCCCTCCGGGTGCTTTGTCCCCTGCAAAGTGTGGTCTTGGTCACACACCACCTTCCTGAGAAGTCCCAAGAACAAGTTGGACTGCAGGGCTTCAACATCCAGGGCTGCTCCTCAACCCAGAAAGCTGCCCAAACGGTGCATTTGGGTGAAAGATGTTCCAGCGCTCTCCGTCCGCCTGCCAAACTGCCTGACCCAGTTCCCGAGATTCTTTTTTTTTTTTTCATACTCACCTGAGGACATTTTTTATTCAGATAGAGTGGGAGGGCCCTGGCCGGTTTTGCTCAGTGGTTAGAGCATCAGCCTGCCCTCCAGAGAGACCCGGGTTCGGTTCCTGCTAAGGGCACGAACCTCGGTTGCAGTTTGTCCCCGGCCCTGGTTGGGTTGTGAGGGTGGCAGCCACTCGATGTGTACCTTTCACGTGGATGTTTCTCTCTCTCTCCCACTCTATCTGAACAAAATATCAAAAAACAAACAAACAAAAAAACAGAGAGTGGGAGGGAGAGACAGAGAAACATCGACATGAAAGGGACACATCGAGTGGCTGCCTCCTGCACGACCCAACCAGCGCCAGGAACAAACTGCAACCGAGGTACGCGGCCTTAGCGCGAACCGAACCCGGGTCTCTCCGGACCGCAGGCCGGCGCTCTAACCGCTGAGCCAAATCGGCCAGGGCCCGAGATTTCTGACCAGAGGTGGAGGACTCAGCTCGGGCCTGCGGAGCATGGGGTGCCAGTCTCGTCCGGCTTTTTGGAAAAGCCGACCAAAAAGTGGTGTCAAAGGACCCATGGGGGGAGGGGGACGCAGGGAGCCGACGCCCACGCTCCAGTGGGGCATCCCTTGGTCGAGGAGGCTGGCCAGTGCCCCCTCGTCAGATGCAAGGTGATCTGGAGGTGGTTCTACCTCGACATCCCGCCACACGGGACCCCTCCAGCGGCTCTGAGCTCCTAAGGGCCCTACAGGGGTCCCTCCAGGCACTCAGTGCCCCGCGTACTGCGCACGCGCGCCGCGCTCCTCGGCGACCCCGCCTCCCGCCCTCCTCGGCCTACCCCTTTCCCCCCTCTGGGGCGGGGCTCAGCGCGGCTTCCGCCGGAAGTCCGGAATCCAGCCGGAAGTCCCACCAAGGAGCCGGGGGCTGAGGCTGCTACGCCCTCCCCCAGCGCGCAGCCGCCTACCTGCCTCACGCGTCCCAGTTGCGACTTTCCCGACCAGCTCTTCCGTGACCCCGCATCCCAGTTCCAGCTGCAGATGACGGCACAGCCTGAAGCCGGGAAAGGAACCTGTATCCCGCCTGGCTCGCCTTTGCCCAGTGCGGCCCAGTGAGGTTCTCGCCCGCCTTTCCGGCCTCACCTGCCCCTCTCCTGCCTGCCCCCCGTGGACCCTCCGCCACCCCGCCATGGCCCAGAAGCCGAAGGTAGACCCCCACGTCGGACGGCTGGGATACCTGCAGGCGCTGGTCACGGAATTCCAGGAGACGGAGAGCCAAGGTGAGAGCGCCAGGGAGGGGGGCAGGGGACGGGGCAGAGGGTCCGCCCGCGATCGTCGCCCCGGACCCGGCTCCAGTGCCGCTTTTCCATCGCAGACGCCAAGGAGCAAGTCCTGGCCAACCTCGCCAACTTCGCCTATGACCCCAGCAACTACCAGTATCTGCGACAGCTGCAGGTCCTGGATTTGTTCCTCGATTCGCTGTCGGAAGAGAATGAGACCCTGGTGGAGTTTGCTATTGGTAAGGAGGGGACCATCTCCCAGGTGCCTGATGGGCGGTGGTGAGGAAAGCGAGTTAGAAGTAAGTCGTTGGGAAAGAAATCTCAGGCAGCCCCTCGGCGGCAGTGGCAGACTTCGCGGCTCACACATTGTCCAGGTCACAGCTAGCTGGAGTCAGGTCTGGAACTCCAGTCCCGGACTCCTGCATTCCTGCCTGCCTTCCTGTTGAGAGATGAGATCATAAATCAGGGAATGGATTGAAGCCGCGTGGAGGGGAAACTGTTTAGCGTGCTCTTTTAAACATTTTTATTCTAATGTTTTACTATCTAGAGAAGAGGTGACTTGCAGTGGCTTATGGTTCCTGTAGTTGTTATGGTCCAAGATCTATTGAATTGTTCACTGGACAGATATTTATTGGGCGTGAGTTGTGTGAGCAAGGTACTGTTCTAAGTGCTGGAGAGAAGGTGAACAAGTCAGGGAAAGGCTTTGCATCCAGGGAGCTTTCATTCTGGTAGGGGGAGACAGACGGTGAGCAAACAAACCGAAAAGCTGAGGCTCTGAAGGAAATAAACAAGATGATGTATGTGATAGAGCAGTAGGTGGGTGCTACTTCTGTTTTGGCCATCTTGGGCAAGCATTCTAGGGTGGGAGACCCTAAAACAGGTTGACCCAGAGGAAGGTTGATGTGTCAGAATTGTGGTGAGTGAAGCAGAGAGTGATACAAAGTGAGGTTAGGGAGGTGGCAGCACCAGAGTTTACAGGGGCTTAGATCTACGCTGTGGGGAAGAGTTTGGAATTTATTCTGGAGCATACAGAAATTATTTTTTTCAGCACGTCTTTAAAAAATAACATTTCTGCCCTGGCTGGTTTGGCTCAGCAGTTAGAGTGTCGGCCCGCTGACTGGAGAGTCCTGGGTTCGGTTCCCGCTAAGGGTGTGTACCTCGGTTGCAGTTTGTCCCTGGCCTTGGTTGGGGTCGTGTGGGTGGAAGCCACTGGATGTGTCTCTCTCACATGAATGTTTCTCTCTCTCTATTCCCTCCTCTCTCCCTCCCCCTCTATCTGACTATAAATGCAAGGCAATGTCCTCTGGTGAGGATTAAAAAATAAATAAAATAAAGTAACATTTCTTTCTTTTTAAATATGTTTTTGTTGATTTTTTTTTTCTTTTTTTTAGAGAGGAAGGGGAAGAGATAGAAACATCAATGTGAGAGTGAAACATTGATCATCGCCTCTTACAGGCTCCCACTGGGGATCAAGCCCACCCCCCGGCCATGTGCCCTGACCGGGAATTGAAGCGGGACCGCTCAGTCCATGGGACGATGCTCAATCCACGGAGCCGCACCAGTCAGGCAACATCTTTTATATAGTGAAAGGAATCCTATCTGTGTAGGGAAAGATGCCTTTAATAATTCATTGTCTACCCTATTATGCAAATTTCTCTCATAGTTTCCAAAAGGATTTGGTTATCATAGTTGCTTTTTGTATATGCCCTGACCAGGGCCAAAAGGACAATTTTTTTGGTTGGTTTGTGTAAACCAGAATCCAGGATCCATGCGTTTAATCTGGTTATTATGTTCCTTAGATTTTTCTTTTTTTTAAATTTATTTTTGTTACAGATGTTTCTCCTCTCTTTCTCTGTATTTATCTATTTAAATCCTCACCTGAGGACATTTTTCTGTTTATCTTCCGACAGAGTGGGAGGGAGAGAGAGGGAGACGAAGGGAGAGAGAGGGAGACGAAGGGAGAGAGAGAGAAACATTGACAGTGCCAGGGGCACATCAACTGCCTCCCTCACGGTCGGGGACAAACTACAACTGAGGTACATGCCCTCAGTGGGAACGGAACCCGGGACTCTCTGGTCTGCAGGGCGACGCTCTAACTGCTGAGCCAAACTGGCCAGGGCTATTCAGATTTTCTTAGTTTTAACTTAATGTCTTTTTACTATGTTGGATTCCATCCAGGATATTATATTACATTTAGTTGTCTCATCTCTTTTGGCTCCTCTGGGCTGTGCCACTTTTTTAGATTTTCCCTTTTTTTGATAGTTTTGAGAAGTACTGGGCAGGTATTTTGTACTGTCCCTCAACTGAGATTTGTCTGATGTTCTTCTCATGATTAGACTGGCTTACAGGTTTTGGGGAGCACGACCACAGAGGTAAAGTGCCATTGTCATCCCATCAGAGGTGCATGCTACCAACATGACTTATCACTGCTGCTAATCACCTCGATCACCTGGCTGAGGTGAGGTTGGTCAGGTCTGTCCACTGTCTTGACTGTTTGATTGCCCTCTCCTTTCCATATTGTACACCGGAAGGAAGTCACTGCATAGCTCTTTAACCATTAGTAGACTCTTTTTTTCATAACACTAATTGTTGAAGGATCCAGACCAGTTCTGCAGAATGTCAGCTTTCCAAATCGTCTGCTTGCCTCTTCATGGTGTTACTTAGTTTGTTCCTCTAGCCCAGCGGTTCTCAACCTTCCTAATGCCACGGCCCTTTAACACAGTTCCTCATGCTGTCTGTGGGCGGATCTGCATGTGGGCGGACCGCCTGGAGACGGATAGAGGATAGAGGAGCGGTGTCTCGGTTCCTAAGACCGACGGAAATATGTGTTTTCCGATGGTCTTAGGTGACCCCTGTGAAAGGTTGAGAACCCGCTGCTCTAGCCCCTTTCATTTCCTGTAACCTAGGAATTAGATAGAAAGCCTTGATAGAATCAAGTAACACTTTTTTTTTCTCTTCCTGAATACATTGTAGGTAAGTGTGATTTAAAATTTTGAAAGACCATCCAGGTCTGCCCCTGTTTGTGGTTTTGGAGCTAGAGTACAAATGGGGGTTGCCCCCCTCTTCTCACCATGACAAGTCTCACACATGTGTGTGGACATTCCAGCTCTGTACACACACACACCCCTGCCCGTGGCCTCTCCTTAGACTTAGGAGTGTACACACCTAAGTGGGGTTCACCCCTGGGAGTCAGGATCCATGAAAGAGGCGCATGCAGCGTGGAAGGAGTCCAGGTGTGGGGAAGGGAGGACTTTAGGTGGGCTTCCTAGATTTTTCAACCTATGGAGAGGGACAGAGTAAGTGCCTCTAAAGCTGAGCCAGGGGCAGGAGCCCCAGTGGCCCAGGTCTAATAGGGTGGTGCTAGCTCATGTCTCTGCCCCTGGAAGAGGATTATGCTAAATAAATATTCAAAAAAAACTGGTACTTTAAGATTTTTGCCAGTGTCCATCCCCTCCCTTTTTGTAACTCAGCTGCACAGCTTCCGGCATCTGAATGGTGACAGAAGCATGTGGCTAAACCTCACCCGGGAGTGATAAGAGGTCCTGCAGCTGAAGCTTTGACTCTGGAGAAAACTTACCTGAAAAGAGCAGCCTGGGGCCTGAGTTCCTGCTCTCCCAGCAGCTTCCCTGGTTCTCTTCTCCCAGCACCTTTCTCTCCTCTTTCCTCCTGCCCCCTTCCCACCAGGGCAGGGTCCTCAACCCCAGAGCCGTAGCTTTCTCTGCATTGAATCCCTTCATGGGATCCTCTGCAGATTCAATTTCTCTTTGATTCATTGTGCGTGACTTAAAAGGAGAGCGCCAGTCGTGCTTAGAAGTGGATTTTGTTACTGCCGTCATTTTCCCCCTCTTAATGTGTCTGGCACTAAATGGAAAACTCGGGCACTTGTCCTGCTGTTAAGGCTCTGTGCTGCGCTTTGTAGTTTTGAATCTTTTATCACCGGTGGCAGGTCTGAGATTGTGATCTCCGGGAGGGCACAGCCCAGCCTGGTATGTCTTGAATGCTCTGGCCTTTGGTCTGGAGAAGGTGAGAGAAGGGCCCAGTGGGTGGCGAGTCCTGGCCATGGCTTGGCTCTGCAGCCCTGAGTGGGGTTGGTTCTGGAGTAACGCAGAGGGGAGAGCTGGGTTACATTGCCCACAGCCATGGCTCACTGAACCAAAACCAATGTCCGTTTGTTGGCAAGGAACATAGTGAGTTTGGTAAGCGCTGGGCTTTTGGATCAGGCAGGCCTGGGCTCAAGTCCTCGCTCCCCCACTTAACTCTGAGTGTGTGATTTCCCTTCTCCCGTCACCTGGCAGGAGTGGCGGTCTCAGTACCTGCCTCACAGTATTGTTGAGAGAGTTCAGTGAGATAGTGTCTGCAGCTGCAGGATCCTCGGGTATCTGGAGCCCCTTTGAGGATAAACAGTTCCCTCACCTCCCAGAGAGGTAAGGTGGGATGGGATCATGTCCTATCCAGGGAACCACCTACCTGCTCTGGGGAGTCTTCCCTTCTGGAAAAACATCACTGCATGACAGAGACAGTTACGGAAGTGGATCCTATGCCTCACAGCGGTGCCCAGGTGGTTTTAGATGAAGTGAGCCAGGCTGTGGCGTGTCACTGGCACTGAGCTCAGCCTCGGCTGTGGAGCTGGTGCGGTCAAGTGTGATAATAGCTGTCACTCATCCCCTCTGTGTGCCAGGCACTGGCTTCCTGTGCTTTATTGTTGTCAACCCTGACACAGCGCTAAAAGCAGGGGGGCGGGGAGTGGGGAGGGTCCTAACATGCATTTATGCATTTTCAGTACCGAATCTGAGACTTAGGAAGGGTCAGTGGATTGCCCAAAGGTTCCGAGTGCCAGACCTGGGACTTGAACCCAAGGCTGTCAGATTCTAGAAGCTGTTCTTTTGGCCACTTTCCTGTCCATAGAGGAGTTCCTAATTTCTAGGGCTGTGGACTGTGACAGCTAGAAGGAAACCAAGACCCCTCGTTTTACTGGTGCGGAACCAGGCACGGGCAGCTGCCCTCGCTGGTTAATGGCAGAGCGGGGCCGGGACGCAGCCCTCCACGATTGCAGGCTTCCTCCCATGGTGGCTCTGATGCTTCAGCTCTGAGGTGACACCCCTCTCTCGTCAAGTGGCCCTGCATCCTCTGTGGGCTGAGAGCCTGGTCTCCACAGCATGCGTTTTGGCTTCAGTTGTCTGTCAGTTGTGGCTGCGGCCTGATAGTCACTTGGCAGTGGTAAGCTAGTGTCCCTGATTGT